GTATTTGTCTAGGCCTGATGCTGAGATAAGAGAAGAATTATGAAGCCACGAGGAAGAATGATAGTATTCTCTCATCAACCTGAACTTCAGTACTTAGAAACAAGACTGAAATCACATTTATCAAATAGCATTCTCCCTTTCATCTGCCATCATCATTTCATCATCATCTATATCTTCAGCTGTCTCATGAAATGATTTGTTTTTGAGATATTTAAACACATAATTTGGAAAATAAGGAATTTTAAAAACATCATTAATGTGGGAAAGTTACAATAGTAAACAGCAAATTTCAAGTCAAGCTCAATACATTTAGGTTTAGAAATTAAGTGTAGTTTATTTTACAATACATTGCTTAAGCAAATAATTATTTATGGATGACCTTCAATGAATCCTCCTTTCACTATGATGTTACAGAAACAATTTAGATTTTCATGTAAATAAAATTACCTAATAAGAGAGATAAAGCAAATAACACATTTTATGGCAAGCTTTTATTTCTAAAGAGGGAGTTTTAGGACCAAATTGTCAAACAGAGGTAAGACCTCAGATCTTCTGTCACACTTGAGTGAGTGATGATGGAGTTGGAAGGTTATAGTTCTATAACCAAAACTATATTCACAGATAGGGATTAAATGGTGGAATTTCACAGAAGCACCAGATTCAGTTTTGTTTCCATGGGACCTCAAGTCTACTTATATCAGATGTCCTTCATTTTTGTATAAACTCGCAAGTATTGTTTTACTGTTTGATCTTTTAGATTGTTATAAACTAAGAAGTCTTGATTTCTGCTAATAAAAAGAGCAAAATTTAAATCATGGAATCGAATGGTGGAGCTGTGGTTGAGACAGTGTGTTTTATGAATTTTAATGACATTTTGAGATCCAGTACTGCTCATTGAATTTCCCTGTGGGGAGAGTTTGTGGTGATGACCCAGCAACAGATAAGCTACTATCCCAAAAAAAGCTATTCATATCAAGTCAATTTCCAGTTTCTTACAAGTTGCAGGAGGATGCCTAGACCTTGCTTTTGTTCTACTTTCACCAAAGTATTACAAAAACAAAAATCGTTACCATTTTCATGTCAGGTATACTAAAAGTTTAAAAAGCTCTCTTTTTTTTTTTTTTAATAAGAATTTGGTTTTAGGAATACTTGGTTTAGTTTCTCCATTAGAAAAAATGATTTATATAAGGAGAACAAAAGTTCATTTCTACTGCTAAAACAATCAGACAAAAAAAAAAGTAATCAGTTTTGAGAATCCAATAGACAGAGTTAACAACCAGTTAAACATAAGAAAGAATTAGTGAATTGGAAGATAACTACCCATAATGAAGCATAAGGAGACCAACAGATAGAAAATATAAGGCTAGAGGGTCAGAGACATTGAAGCTACAATCAGAACAACTGACATACTTCTGCAGTTACGGAATATTTGAAGAGAGAAAATGGGGCAGAAGCAATGTGGAGATTTTCCCAAAAGTGATAAAATACGTCAGTTCATATATTTTTAGAAACCATCAGACTTCAGACAAGATAACTAAAACCAAATTAACATAAAATGACAGGACGTCAAAGACCAATAGAAAATTTGAAAAGTAACTCAAGGAAAAGATAGAGATTATGTTAAAGGGAATCACTGTCTAAATGACAACCTGAGTTTTAATGAGCAAAAATAAACCTAGAGTTCAATAGAATCATGTCTTCAGTGTATTTCAAAAGTAAAATAGATCTTGATAAACAGAAACTTAAAATACATCTTTTCAGGTGAAAGAAAAATTATTATTATTACTATTTTTATTTGTAGAGTTGGAGTCTCACTCTGTTGTCCAGGCTGGAGTTCAGTGTTAGGATCACGGCTTACTGCAGTCTGGAACTCCTGGGCTCAAACCATTCTCCCACCTCAGCCTTGTGAGTAGCTTCACTGTGCCTGGCTAACTTTTTCATTTGTTGTAGAGGCCGTTTCGCTGTGTTGCACAGACTGATCTTGAACTCCTGGGTGCTCCTGACCTAACCTTACAAAATGTTGGGATTATGGTTGTGAACCACCCTGACTAGCCAATAAAGGGTCTTATTGAAACTATTGAATATATAGTTTCATATATATTGAATATATATGTTGAATATGCAAGAAGGAATACAAGTTAATGAAACTGGTAAATAAGTGCATAATTCTAAATGAATGTTTACTTTAAAAATAATAATGTCTTATTGGGTGATTATATAATTGATAAGATATATGCAAATGGAAAAATATAGACTGGAGGTAAAGGTGACAGGAGTAAGTTTAGTTAAATTACTTTTTGAAATATTCTATGTCGATGAAGAGATTTTGAACAATGACAATGTAATTCTACTCAAAGGTATATATACAAAGGAATTGTATCAAATGATATAGGAAACAATGTTGTAGTAGAATTACTCATAACTGTTCAAAAAAGAGCTGACCAAATATATATTAAGGTTGGATGAAACATTAATTCCATACAATGGAACAATATAGAGAAGTGAAAAAAAATCACATGTACATGCAACTATGTGACTAAATTTCAGAAACACAATGTTGAGTCCAAGAAGCCACAAACATGTAGGATTGCACCTACACACAATTCAAAACAAGCCAGACCAAGCTATGCAGTTTAGAGTTGCATACCTAGATGGTAAAGTATAAAGAAATGTAAGGAAATATTCATCATAAATTACAGATATTGCTTACTCAGGAGATGCAAAGAAGGGTTGAGGGGCTTGGAAAGTGGCCTGGAGGTGGACCAGAGCTGTTTTCAATGTTCCTTGTATTGCCCTGCATCATGGTTACTTGAGTGTTTACAGTGAATTGCGGTATGTCCCATTTTTGTACTGGTTCATTTCTAAATGTGCATTATAACTTCAATATACAAATTTGTAATTAGGAGCAATGTCTCATGGAAATTATTGTTACTCGTCTCATTATATACTGAGGAGAAATATCAACTATTTGTATACTTCCTTATACAACTCTAAGATAGTTGAAACAGGAACTTTCTTATTTAGTTGCGGCATGAGGAAATGTGAGATGATGTTATCTGCCACCCCCAGATCTTTCCAAAGGATTTCTTCCAGCCTTAATTATCGATCTCATAGGAACAAACCTTTGCCATTCCCCACATATTTTTTCTTTTGGCTCCTGAATTCCTGACACAACAAGGTTGTACGTATTTCCCATGCTCTTGGTTTAGCAGTTTTTTTTTTTTTTTTTTTTTTTTTTATCATTTATGTTTTTCTGCAGGAGAAAACCCTCCAAACTATATTAGATTTTTATATCTCACATATCGTTTGATGTCTTTTTTTTTTTCTTTTCTAAGACAGGGTCTCACTCTGTTTCCCAGGCTGCAGGGCAGTGGCACCCTCTCGACTCACTGCAACCTCCGCCTCCAGGGTTCACGCCATTATCCTGCCTCAGCCTCCCGAGTAGCTAGGACTTCAGGCACATGCCACCACTCTCGGTTAATTTTTGTATTTTTAGTGGAGACAGTGTTTCTCCATATTGGCCAGGATGGTCTCCATCTCTTGACCTCGTGATCCGCCCACCTCGGCCTTGCCTATGCTCTGCCTGGATTTCATTTTTCTAAGCTGGGTTTGGTGGATGGTTGTGGTGATTTGAGATGGGCCAAATTCTGCATCTTGGAGGACGTTAGAGTTTTGTCAATTTAGTCTGAATCAGGTGGCGGCAATCTGACGTCATTAGTTTCTCATTCTCCTTCTGGGAACAGTGTACTAGCCAGGCGATGTTCTCATAGGAAATGGAAAGAGGAAGAAGCCCCAGCATGGAAGCCATCTCAAATCTCTATGCAAAGTGTAGTAATTTTCTGTTTATCAAAGTAAGCTAAATGATTGAACGCCAAATTCGGGGGAAAGGTAGTCAGTCTTCTGGTGATAGGTGGATACTGCAAGATTATATATCAAAGGGTCTGGTTCTCAGGAATTCTTATGAAATTTCTAAATATTTTATATAATAATAAATATTTAAGCATTAGACTTGAAAGAAACCTTACCAAAGTCCTAAGAATTAGAGATATGTTTGGTAAATAAATATCATTCATGGGCTGAAAGCCCTGAGTGGGAAAATAGAACTAATTTCATCGGGACAACAGCTTGGAAACTCATTTTTTATTTTGAAAATTACAAAAAAGTTATTTGCTCCATTCATAAGTGGTATGCACATATGTGTATTTTTGTGCACATTTATGAGCTTGTGAATAATGAAGTTATAAAAAAGTATTAGCAGCAACCAGATCTCATGGAACATTAGTCTGCCTATGGTTCTCAAGAAAATCTTAGATGCTTTTGATAAAATAAGTTTGGATTCTGTGTATTTAAATCTGTCATTTAAAAAAGACCATATTGGTGATGATCTTAGTTATGACAAAGCTCCCTTTGAGAATTCAGAAATTTACTATATGATCTCTGTATTGGGTTAGAAAACTTCCCTAACAACTGAAATTGCTAAAGATAAATGATGGAGAGGTTACACAAGGAAAAATTGCAAACACTGAAAGTGAATATGTCCTTATTTGCACACTAGCAAATGAGGATTCAGGTTTCATGTCAATTTCAGTGTGAATAATTCCAACCTAGAACAAGAACAGACAGTGAATGAATGGGTTAATTTGAGTTGTTTGAAAATAAGAATGTTTTCCATAAGAGATCATTGAACTCATCCATTAGCACGCTATGGTGATTTCCGGCTTGACCCTGGTCACAACAATTAAAAGTAAAAGGAATGTCACAACACATACACAAATCAGGTGCATATAGAATTTAAGGTCAGGATATTCAAGCAATCACAACCGGTGATATTACACTGAGAAGTGAAGCCAGCTATATTTCCTCAATCCATTGCGGAGTTGGAGAAAGTTTCTGTAGCTAGCAAAGGGATTGTAAAATGCACCAATCAGCACTGTGTAAAACCACACCAATCAGCACTCAGTAGCTAGCCAGAGGATTGTAAAATGCACCAATCAGCGCTCTGTAAAATGCACCAATCAGCGCTCTGTAAAATGCACCAATCAGCAGGATCCTAAAAGCAGTCAATCACAGGGAAGACTGAAAAAAGGTCACTCTGATAGGACAAGAAAGGAAAATGGGAGGGGACAAATAAGGGAATAAAAGCTCACCACTTCAGCCACCAGCAGCAACCTGCCTGGGTGTGGAAGCTTCTCAATAAACCTTGCTACCACTCACTCTTTGGGTCTGTGCCATCTTTAAGAGAAGTAACCCTCACTGTGAAGTTCTACAGCTCTATTCTTGAAGTCAGCGAGACCACGAACCCACCTGCAGGAACCAACTCCGGATACAACACCAGCATTTTAAAATTTTCTTTTTGTTTGTTCAGACATGATAACTTTTCTACCCATCATTTTTTCCATTCTAGTAGTGGTTACATTTGTTATTGGAAATTTTGCTAATGGCTTCATAGCATTGGTAAATTCCGTTGAGTTGGTCAAGAGACAAAAGATCTCCTTTGCTGACCAAATTCTCACTGCTCTGGCAGTCTCCAGAGTTGGTTTGCTCTGGGTATTATTACTAAATTGGTATTCAACTGTGTTGAATCCAGCTTTTTATAGTGTAGACGTAAGAACTACTGCTTATAACCTCTGGGCAGTAACCAGTCATTTCAGCAACTGGCTTGCTACTTGCCTCAGCATATTTTATGTGCTCAAGATTGCCAATTTCTCCAACCTTATGTTTCTTCACTTAAAGAGGAGAGTTAAGAGTGTCATTCTGGTGATGCTGTTGGGGCCTTTGCTGTTTTTGGCTTGTCATCTTTTTGTCATAAACATGAATGAGATTGTACGGACAAAAGAGTATGAAGGAAACATAACTTGGAAGATCAAATTGATGAGTGCAACGTACTTTTCAAATACGACTGTAACCATGCTAGCAAACTTAGTACCCTTCACTTTGACCCTACTATCTTTTGTGCTGTTAATATGTTCTTTGTGTAAACATCTCAAGAAGATGCAGCTTTATGGTAAAGGGTCTCAAGATCCCAGCACCAAGGTCCACATAAAAGCTTTGCAAACTGTGATCTCCTTCCTCTTCTTATGTGCCATTTACTTTCTGTCCATAATGATATCAGTTTGGAATTTGGAGAGGCTGGAAAATAAACCTTTCTTCCTGTTCTGCAAAGCTATTAGAATCATGTATCCTTCAGCCCACACATTCGTCCTGATTTGGGGAAACAAGAAGCTAAAGCAGACTTTTCTTTCAGTTTTGTGGCGAGTGAGGTACTGGGTGAAAGGACAGAAGCCTTCATCTCCATAGATTCCCAAGAGGAGCATGGTGTGTCTTCTAGCAGAAAACAAACTGGTGGTGTATGAAACATTTTCTATTTCTTACTGGTTTTTCTGTAAAATATGTGGATGAATAATTTCCAAACATATACCTAGAGAAGTCTTTGACCTAAAATTATTATATATATGTGTGTGTGTGTGTGTGTGTGTGTGTGTGTGTGTGTGTATGAGTGTATGAACACTTAGGAACAAGGACACTAACATGTTCTTTTTCTTCATACAAACTGCCAAATTATACAAAATATGACAAAAAGTCCTCAGAATTATGAAGCCCTGTGTATTTCATTCATGTATTTTATATTTCATTTGTAGAATTATGATGTCTATTTATAATTAAGGACTAGCAGCTTATTCCATGAAAAATATTCTTTTTTTCTATTGTTATTTGAACCACACAAATATATCACAGTGAGCTTAGAATTCATTGTTTGAACCTGTAACTTATTGGATGGTAAGGTCTTTCAATTCGATATCAATAATGAGGATGTATCTTTGGGGTTTTACTCCATTATGAATTTCTATTTTCTGTTTAGTAAAAAGCAATCAGAATTATTGTTAGAAAACAATGCACACAATGGAATTCGAGTGACAAGCATATGCACAGTAAATTTCGTGTATGTCTGCCATAAGCAGTACTGAGGAATATTAGATTTCATACAAGTATGTGAAGAGCTAAAAATAATCTCTTTGGTAATACAGGGATGAAAAATCATGGTGATGATCTCTATTGCTATTATCCATTTCCATATGCAGTTAGAAATGTCATTTCTTCCAGCGTTTGAATTAAAGAAAAGCCATTTTATAAGTTGAGATGTGATGTAAATTATTTTAGTAATTTTTTTCTAAAGCACTCTTAAGCCCCTGAATTGCTAATTATATCCTTATCTTCCATTTAGAATATTCCTTGTAAACTTCAGATAAGAGAACTCAAATCTTCTCTTTTCCAAAAAAACCTATCAATATTAAAATAGAAATTATGAAAAATAATTCAGTGAAACATTTTGTAAATGTTAAAATAGTATCTATGAAATCTATGTATTAATTATGGGATGTGCCTTAACTTTGTAATATTGTTGTCAATGATGAAATGAAAATGTGTTGACATATTCATTCATACAATGTTCTATTATAAGAAAGAAACATATACTCTTGTTCACAGCTAAATTCTGCCTGACTGTTTTAAGTCTTGGTGTTATGAAATTTTAACAATGTCATTTAAACCTTAAGATAAATCATCCCCAAACCTGATTTATGTATTTTTTAAAATTCTGTATCTTTCTCAGTACAATATAAGAACTGTAAAAAAAGAGATCGTGTCTGTCCGGGTTTCTGTTGACCCCAGGAACTAGAACGCAGCACCAAGAATACAAGATCAAAAATGATAATTTAAATGAACAAATAAATGGGTAGTGGATAAAATGGGTAAGTTGATGTGGTAAACCAATGAAAAGGAAACAAATCACAAAATCTGCAGTTGCGTGAATTCCCCTGTTCTGGTTTCAGGTTAAGGTTACAAGCTTATCCAAGCAGAATCTTTCATCAAAGGAAAAGTTTGGTTATTCCACAGTTTTAGGGGAAATTATCACAATAATACAGTCTTGATGAAGCTGTATCAGGTGTCTGAATTGGAAACAAAGTAGAACATCAAAATCATATGGCACCTATTACAATATTTTTTTAAAAACATGTAAACAGTTGGTCTATTTGAATATGTTTTTTTCTATTGTGAATTACATATGTATATTATGATATTTTTAGTTGATTATTATTTAAACATAAATGGCATGTCATTTCAAAAAATTGAGTTAGTAACCAGCTACTTTACTAAAATGTTTTCAATTTAATACCTGTTATTAAAGTGATGACATTTATTTAGAAGTCAAGTTCAAGACAAAAGTGGTAAGGACATGCGGAAATTGAGACAGAAACAAACGTGAAACAATGTGTGGTAATGTCTGGTGTGACTCTGCTGGCAGCCACTTCACAGTGAGGTGAGAGAGACAGAATGGTGGTCATTAGATACGTGCACTTGGCCCCCAGCATTTTTCCAGAAGGGCTACAAGGGGAAACCACAGCCAACATTAGTCCATGGAAGAGAGAGAGGAAGGAGAATGTTTCTGCTCAGCTGTCATTTGACTTCTATATCCTATTGGCCAGGGTTTACCTGAGGTGGAACTACCATCTCTGTTGTTCTGTCTTACATCATCTAGTCCCCTGGTGGAGGTTTTGAAAGTCAGACCTCATGCCCACAGTGTGGTGATGCATTCAAGTTCCAAACGGAAGGTTGATCTGGTTCAGGCAAGGTGCTGATGAGGGGAATGGTAGATAGTGAAGGGAATCTAAGAAAGCACATGTCTGTGTCCAGTGCAGTCCAATCCTTTAGTCACTCAGATGTGCTCATGCCCTCCAGTCATGGCTGGCTTTAGGAACACATGACTTGCAAAGCTGCACAGGGTTTTGTGCCCAGAGGGGCTTGTGCTTAGATGAACTCTGTACTTGGATTAATGTTCTGCACTTGCTGCTGTTTTTTTTTTTTTTTTTTTGGTCAGACAGAGGATACTCTTTCGCTGAAGAGGGAATGGTCTTGCACTAATTCCATAGGGATTTGCTCTCCCTTCTCCTACAGGCTTGTCAGAGACGTGCACAGAGTCCTATAATGCCCACTATGCATGCCGCTGGATCGTCTGGCACAGTGGCCAGAGCAGCTTGGACCAGAGCCTATATCTGCTCTGGTCCCTATACCATGCATGTATCGGACAGACTTCATGTAGCCCAGCTAAAATAATTAAATTGAGATTTCAGTTATCATGAAGCACAGTGAACAACAAAGATAACAACAAAAAACTTTAGGCAAAGGTACTCTTCTTGAAAACCCAAACCACATTCCATTGCCTTACATAACAGTCCTATTCCTTATCCATTCTTCTTTCTAGCATAGTTCTAACTCCTACTTTTACTAATTATATTAATCAAAGTAATTCTCTTTCATAGAGAAAACTGGAAGTTACGTGATTGAGGACTCTTAAAAATAACTATTTTGGCAGATGTGCAAAATTCTCAAGCACATATATTACAAATTTCTAAGGTCATATACATCCTTTCTACCCTTGCTTGAATTAGCCTACAAAACTCCCATGTTTGTTAACATAATCCAAACAAATAGCCATTCCATAAACATAAAATAAGAATAAAAGTTGCATATATTTATTTATTTATTTATATAACCTGTGATTGGTGACCACATTTCAGTATTCCATCTTACCTAGAAATTATTGAAAGATTTTCATGAAGCTACTGAATTTAGTATTAGTCTCAGGTCTTAAATTGAACTAGGAATCTTGGAAATTAAATTTAAGCTGATAGACTACAGAAAATAATTACTGTTAATATGTGGAAGTTTTCATAATTTGTATTCAGTTTATTTGAAAACGTTATTTTATATTTTTTGGTATTTTCACATTATGTGGGCATATTAGTTTACCTTATCAGTAAACAGATATAGGAAATTTAGGTATTTCTTTTATTAAAATGTATTTTTAAGTTTTGTGGATACATAGTAGGTATGTATATTTATTGGGTACATGGGATGTGTTGATACAGGCATGCGAAGTGTAATAATCACATAATGAAGAATGGGGTAGCCATCCTCTCAAACATTTACCTTCTTTTGTTACAAACAACCTAGTTATACTCCTTTAGTTATTTTAAAATGTACAACTAAATTATCATTCACTATAGTTACCCTGCTTTGCTATCAAATAGTAGGTCTTATTCATTCTTTCTATTTTTTTGTTGTTGTTGTTGTTGATAACCATTAACCAGTCACACCTTCCCTTTAGCCCCCACTACCTTTGCCTTTCTGTGCAAACCTTTCAGTTATTTCTGACTTATTCAACTTAACATAATAATCTCCAATTCCATCCATATTGTTGCAAATGACAGGATCTCATTTCTTAAATGGCTGAATAGTGCTTTATTGTGTATATGTACCACATTCTCTTTATCTATTCATCTGTTGCTGGACACTGAGGTTGCTTCCAAATCTTGGCTATTGTGAACAGTGCTACAACAAACATGGGAGTGTAGATACCTGTTTGATACACTAATTTCCTTTCTTTTGGGTATATACCCACCAGTGAGATTGTTGGATCATACGGTAGCTCTAATGTTAGTCTTTTGAGAAACCTTTCAGCTGTTTTCCATAGTGGTTGTACTCATTCGTATTCCCACCTGCAATGTACAATGGTTCCCATTTCTCCACATCCTCACCAGTGTTTGTTACTGCCTGTCTTTGGATATAAGCTGTTTTCACTGGGATGAAATGATATCTCATTTTAGTTCTGCTTTGCATTTCTCCGATGATCAATGATGTTGAGCACCTTTTCATATGTCTGTTTGGCATTTGTATATCTTCTTTTGAGAAATGCCTATTCAAATCTTTCACCCATTTTTTGATCAGATTGTTAGATTTTTTTTCCTATAGATTTGTTAAAGTTCCTTTTGTATTCTGATTATTAATCCCTTGTCAGATGAGTAGTTTGCAAATATTTTCCCCCATTCTTGTCTCTTCACTCTTCTTTCATTTATGTGATTCTCTAAACTGGTTATTCTAGTTAGCAATTGCTCTAAACTTTTTTTCACGGTTCTTAGCTCCCTTGCATTGGGTTAGACTTTGCTGCTTTAGCTCAGTTGAGTTTATTACTCACTTCTGAAGCCTACTTCTGTCAATTCATCAAACTCATTCTCTGTCCAGTTTTGTTCCCTTGCTGGTGAGGAATTGTGATCCTTTGGAAGAGAAGAGGCATTCTGGTTTTTGGAATATTCAGCCTTTTTTGTGCTGCTTTTTCTTCCTCACCATGGATTTATCTACCTTTGGCCTTTGATGTTGGTGACCTTCAGATGGGGTTTCTGTGTGTACATCCTTTTTGTTGATGTTGATGTTATTCATTTGTTTGTTATTTTTTCTTCTAATAGGCCCCTCCGGTGCTGGTCTGCTGGAGTTTGCAGAAGGTCCACTCCAGACCTTGTTTGCCTGGGCATCACGAGCAGAGGCCACAAAACAGCAAAGGTTGATGCCTGTTCCTTCTTCTGGCACCTTTGTCCCAGAGGGTTACCCGCCAGATGTCAGGCAGAGCTCTCCTGTGCGAGATGTCTGTCAATCCCTGCTGGGAGGTGTCTTCCAGTCAGCAGGCGCGGAGGTCAATGACCCAATTGAGGAGTCAGTCTGTCCCTTGGCAGAGGTCAAGCACTGTGCTGGGAGATCTGCTGCTCTTTTCAGAGCTGGCAGGCAGGAATGTTTATGTCTTGTTTGATTCTGTGCCCACAACTGTCCTGTCTCCCAGGTGCTCTCTCCTAAGGAGCTGGGTGTTCTATCTGTAAGCCCCTGACTG